CTCCACAAGAAAGGGCCATGTTGCTTTGCCATAGCTGCTTAACTTTTGTCTACTTCAAAAAGCAATGCCAACTTTCCTTAATAAACCAGCCTGAAATACAACAGTTCAGCAGCTGCTGCTGGAGAACCTGAATCATCCCTAAGTAGCAGATAACTCTCAAAGGAGGACAGAAGCCGCTATTACTGCTCCATAATGGGAGCACTAATCTAGATAAAACATAGGCAAACTGAGGAAAGCTGACAGGGATTAACGAGCCCACACCGTCACCAGTTATGATCGGTTACACATCTTGAAAGTCTGATTAGTTCCCCTCCTACTCCTAAATTTTCAGGCAACCATTTCAGCTAAGGTAACTAAGCATATCTGTTATCTCTTGAAGAGGTTTTTTTCTTTAATCTATCCTTACATTTTCCCCTTCACTAATACCTCTAGATAAATATATTTAATATATTACTGTGTCCGAGATCTGTTTAATACCAGATCTGGATTCAATATCTATATATGTGCATATATGTAGCTATATATATATATTATAGCTCATATAAAGAAGTCATGACCATTTGGTTTTAATAATGTACTATAAAAAGAGGCAGCCAAAGATAATTACTTTGCAAGCAAAGGCAAAGCTGCACCCTAAGCAATCATCATAAGGGGAGGTACTGATCTTTGTCCCGTTCTACTGACTTTGGTACTTGTCAGACTGTTCCAAACCGATTCAGCTTGCTAAACCAGCAGAAAACTAGTACAACAAGTAGTGTTTTGCAAGGCTTTTGCATTGAATCAGGTCAGCATAAGGTCCAGCAGAAGCCAAAACGATAGTGTAGTCAGATCACAGGGCCAAAGCACAAGGGCCAGAGGATTGGGACCTCCCCTATGTTGATGCAGAGAGGTTAAACATCTATAGCTATAACTGAGCAACTCATTCGAACAAAAAAAAACCAAACCACACACCAAACTGTCTCATGCACAATTTTATGTAGTTTTGCTACTGAGCAAGGCAGATTTAAAATGATCAGTCAATTCACTGCAGGTGCACTGAAATCAGTCGGTTTACTTGCAGGTTAGCGATGTTTTCAATGAAGAGCAGTGAGCTTTGTTCCTCCCTTTTCCCTTGCTATCCATATACTAAACCTTAACCCTGACTTAAGAGATTTTCAAGTCGCATTGCCAGTGAGATTGCAGTGACTGGCATTTCTACATATCTCCATTACAGTTTTCACCCTTGCACTTTTCAAATACTAAGCATGTTAGTTGCTTTGCAAAGAGCATTGGGTCTGCAATACATAGATATGCAAGGATGAGAGAGGGAAAAGAAATTTCACTCAGAGTTTTATAAAGAGGTTTTATAAATAATAGCAGTAGATTTACAAATAGAAATTTTATGAGGGGAAAAAAGCAATAGCAAGTAATAAATTCACCTGTTTAACAGCATGCCCACAAGCACTACAGACCAATACCTTACTGTGTTAAGCACCACACTGTCATAACTGCCTACTAACAAGTAATACTTCCCAATAGCCTTGCTGGGCTAAGGAGTAATAATGATCTCTCAGACGTCTCCCTTGTTACTTCGAGCAATTATTCCTTTCCCCTCTCTCTGCAGGTAGACCAATTTTTATCCTCCCTTCTCCATTTCTCCAAACATTAAATGCATATAGCTTGCATATCCATACCACCCTAAAGTCTTTTAGGCAGCTCCTGCCAAGCAGAGAGCACACTTGAACAAAATAATAGAAATGGACTGTAAGTTATGAGAAGCTGGAGAAAGAGAAAACAGATATTCACATAAATGAAGGAACATAAAGAAACAACAAGACAAAGAGGTAACGGTTCACTTACTAAACACACTAGACTGGGTTAATGCCTAAACCCTTTCAGATGCCAGTCCAGCCCTGGAGTGGGTTGTTAGTGCTCTCTTTGCCACCTCTGTGTCTTGGCAATGGAGGACTGGGATAAACTCTTCATGTAACACCAGGATGGTGACTTCCCCAGACACAGGAATTCCTGAGACATTGCTGTATCCTACAAGCATATAGGACTGTAGTACCACTACTTGCTTCTTCCTATCAATTAACCACAATTCCTCCCCTGTTGCCACAGCTGACATTAGCTGTCAACTCCATCATGACAGCAAGTAACCTGCACAGCCTCTGCATTCTTCACTGGGACTCACCCCCCAGCAAGGCCAAATAAAGAGTAAGAGCTTGATCAATTCCTGATATCCAGAAATACCTAAAGTTCTGTAAAATCCTTCATATAAATACATATATATATACACAAATAATTCATAGGATGACATGCACTGCCTCCTCCTTTCAGGGTTTGCAGCCATGTATTTTCTAGTAGTATTCTTCAATTGCTCCTATATTGTTCCCTATAATCCCAGCATTGTTTGAGGTGGAAAGGAAAGAGGGAAATTTATTACAAGTGATTACAGAATGAAGTTCCAGTCACATTCTTGAAGATGGAAAGTGTACAGACCAATAAAGTTTGTTAGCATGATGTAAATCTACTGGTTAAAAAAAAAAAATAATATCACTAGAACTACAATAATTTCCCATGAAAACAAAGCACGTGGCTCTGCAGGAGCACAGAGGAACAGCTTTAAGAAGAATCATCTGCCTTATTTCACTCCTCAAAATCAGTAAACGGCAAGTCATTTTTTTATTAGTTATTTCATTTCATCTCCAAGAAGAGAAGGCCACAGTTCTGTAAAACTTGCTAGGAAGGTCCTTAGTTCGAAAATAAGAAGCTAGCACTAGAATATATAACATTACTTGCGTGTTTGGGGTTTTTTCCTTATCTTCAAAACATGGAGCCAAACCCAGGTTGACACAAAAAGCCATCAGGTATCCTCTTGCATTTCAAAAGAAATGAGATCTTTGAGCTAACACAATGTGCAATCCTTGAAACACATTCATGATTTACTAGAAGCAGTATTATTTTTGGCAGTTTAGCTGCACGACAGCTGTATGTGCCAAGCTGGGAAGAGAATCATCGCCTTCTCACTTCTTCCAGTACAATTCCAGGCTGCATTTGATATTTAACTGGCTCACAAAAATTCCAAGTAGGAGACTTGGAAGAGGTTCTGTAACAATGATTAATTTGGAAGCTTAGTTCTAATCAACACCGGAGCTTCTCTCCTAGCCCAGAACACAAGAACTGCTTTGATATGGAGCATAGTGTTCATTTCCTACTGCTGTTCATTATCTTCACACTTTCCTGTGGAAGATACACCTGCTAGCACATTGGCACAAACAGCTGGAAGCAGACTTCTGAGCTTTGCATTAAAGGCAACATCTGATACGGAAAATAAAGAAGAATTCATAGAATTGTAATGCCAAAAAAAATTTAATTTAAAAAAAAATGTTCATGATACGGATGGTCACAATACAAAGTTCTTAAACACAATACAACACTGAAACAAGTTGAAAAGCCTTTTTTTTGATTGGAAGCGATTAATACAAAGAATAGATGCCAACAACACTTATCGTACAAAGTTTATGACAGTGGATTCACATATTGATTCCCTGAAAATCCCCTCATTTTGAAGATGTATTGAATATTAAGGTCATGGCTGAAATGAATTCAAGAAATTCAGAGTTATATTTGTCTCCACCCTCAATTCTAAGCGCTAGGATTGGGTTTCACGGTACAAAACAGACAGTAAAGGCACACTGTGGTTTGAAAACAAGGCTAGAGATTCTAGCCTTTCAACTTTCTGGCTTTTGTCTGGGTGTTTTATGAACACTCAAATGTACAGTGAAAAAATCCAACCTTCTTGAGGGAGTGCAGAGTGAAAAAAATATTAAAACCTAAAAAAGTAACCCATTTAACCTACATAACAGTATTTATATTCTAATGCATTTCTTAGTGTTTCCTCAACTCATTTGAGGTTACACATTTTAGAAATGAAGTACCTTTCTCCAAGTTATTTCTATTATTTCACTCTGACAGAACTAGTATAAAAATGTGCATTTAAGATCATTGTTCACCTCCATCAGTTTTGTTGATTATGGAAAAGGACAGACGCACTGCTAAAAAGTTGAAGGTATTGGCCAAGCCAGTTACTTGCTTATTTAACTTTTTCAATACAGCTTTCCAATTTAGAAAAAAACTTTAAAGAAAATGCTTGCTTAACCTTTTAAAAATTACTAGACTGCAAGTCTTGCATGTCAAATTCTGGCATGAAGTGTTCTTCAATATTAAGTAACACAGTCCTGACACAGACCTATTGCAATTATTAACAAAACTCTTGCCACAGGGGTGCAAATCAATGTACTCTGCTTTAATCAAATCTGCCACAACTATCTTTGTTTATGAAACATGTTATTTCCTACAGAACTATTATACAACTCAAAATTAGTTGAAAGTAGAGTTTGGAAGAGCTATCTACGGACACTACGAAAGACTGTTCCAGCAGCACTGGTCTGCACATAAACACAAGTAATCAGTTTACGCTAAAATTTTCTAGAACTACATAAAAAGTAATAGTTATACCGTATTTTGGTTCCCTGAGAAAAGTGCTCTAACTACAGAGGTCTTCAGGATGCCATCAGTACAGTGAATAAAGATGCACCTTTTACACTGCTACTGCAGAGACATCTCCTATTTTCATCTTGATTAGACTTGGGTTTGGGATTTTCATTCAAAACAAACCTTATTCTCCACAAAAGCATGACTGGAACAGGAGCAAGAGATGACTAAAAGTAGTCCAGTACTAAAACTGGTCTGTCCGTGATGATTTGCTATTACACACTGGAATGTAGTTAGCATACTTGATGAACAAAACATCATTAAGAGCACAATTTACCTTATCTATTTAACCATAATTGAGATTGTTGTTGAAAACTTTTAATATAATACCGAAGTGTTTCAAATATGTTTCTGGAAAGCATGCTTTTTCCCCCCCAGGGGTACAACTTATGTTTTTAGTGAACACGATAATCATCATGAGAGTTAACACTTCAAATACAATAAAACAGCGCACAGCAGAAGAATGAAGTCAGGAACCATTTTATTTCCATCCAGTTTTTCAAGTGTTAAGGATGGCATAAGAACTCATTCCACCACTACAACTTACGAAATTATTACATCCCTAGAAGAGGCAAAGCTTCAAAGCTTATAATGCTTCCTGGTTTTTTCCCTCCTAAGTGCTTATATGCTGTGTGATTATTTGGTCTGTTTTAACTGTCTTTCTGTCCCTATCCAATACAAACCTCCTTCATCCTCTCCCCAGCCACCAAAATAGGGTAACTGGGTGTGGAGAAGAAGCACTGAGGCAGTCTGTAATGAGAAGTTATAAAAAACGTTAAACAGCAACATACACCACACTAACACCTGGGATGCTCACAACATACAGAAGACAACTTTGCAACTATATCATGTTCCATTGGCCATCGTTACCTATGAAGATCAGTACTGTAAGACTTATTGTTTAGTACATGCACACAACAGTTACTCCAGATCCTTCTGATTCCTCCCAACTTCTGGACAGCAAATAATTTTGCATTTACTATTTTCAAGACAAAATACTGAAACTGGTTTCAGGTATTATTGTCCAATTGGTTTTAATAGCAAGATTCAAATGTTATCTTCCACAATTAGAGAATTAATGCTCAGTACTTCTCAAAAGCTTTAAAAATTAAGGTATGTTGAAAAATTACTTTCAGTATACCCCATGCAATAGAACTGCTCAAATAGTTTAAACTCTTAATTTAACATATTCTAAGTTAGTGAAGAGTTCATATTTAGAAACTAATTCCAGACAGTTCTTAGATCTCATATGGCAGGAGATGAAACTGTTTAAAATTATCACTATCAACAGAAAAAATTCCCATAGGAAAAAAGTATATACACTCTCACTATAGCAAGGCAATCAACTCTTCCAGTTCAATACTATCATAAACATTTAACTGAATTAACCAGTAGAATCCAACCAACAACTCATATTTCAGATTTTTCAGACATATGATTACCTATTAAAGGCTGATTTTTTTTTATTCAAATCTAAGTAAATTTTTCTTTTCCAATACAATCCAGTTCAATGCATTTAAGACTGATTTGTAAACTGTTATCTCTCCCTCACATCTCTATACTTACACAGATCTTTAGAGAGACATTAAGCAAAAGGCTTATAAAATGCAATGATGCAGAGTTTCATTTTAAACTTAGCACTTATCTGAGCACGCCTGCAGACGCTCTCTTACGCGAAGTGGAAGTGTTTTTAACAACCTTTCTTCTACAATGAGATTATTCCGCTTTAAGAACTGACATTCTTCCAGTTCAGCAGGAAGTGATTCAAGATAGTTTCCAATGAGCTCTAATTGAACAAGATTCAGTAGCTGACCCACACAAGGGGACAAATTCATCAGACTGTTATTTCCCAGCAGAAGAAATTGCAGCTTTTTGCACTGAAATAATCCATCAGGCAGCACTTCAATCTAGAAAAAGGAAAGAAAAGAACAAAAATTATGTACACTAAAACTTGTTATCCTATATGCAGCTGCATGTTTTGACATCTCCCAGTTTTATTTTAGGAGAAAAAAAACCAACCAGCTCTTAATTTACAGAAGGATAAAGAAAGGGAAAATTGTAACACTTCTATCGTTATGCAAAAAAGTGCTAGGGAACAAACTACAATGGTTTTATTTACTTGTTTTGTTGTGAAGATGCTTAGCTACTGTCACAAGTCAAGACATAAGCATGAAAGGGGGTGCATATACGTGTACACATGCGCACAAGCGCATACAAACGTGTGCATGTGCAGGTGGCAGGAGAGATAAATAGGCTATTGTCTTCTTCACTTAATGAAGAACAAACACAGATTCTGTGGAGAGAAATTAGCAGCTCCTGTGTTGCAAAACCTGTACAAGCAGTTATCTGTGCAGTACAGTAGCAACTTAGCCCTGGTCCATGTAATGACATATAACATCTAAAACCAGCCTCACTGGGGAAAACAATTACAAACCTCCAAAGAAGTCACAAGCCTGGAGCCCACAGTAACAAGCCAGACAGTTTAGCACTGCTAACGAGGTTACCAGCTATAATTATTTCCCTCTTCCCAATCAGACAGCTGAGCTGCTCATCAACTGGCTCTTAATTCACTACAGCTTTCAGTTTGACATTTTAAGGTAAAAAATTAACACTGTTCACTACATAGGATAGACAGCTGCAGGGAAAGGGAAGATACATTTCTACAGCCATCCTAACCTACACTATCTCTGGATCAGAGCCCTTAAGCTCCTACAAACCAGGATAGTACTTACTTGGTATTACACAAGCTTTGATGACACCAAGGTTTTAGCAATTAAACAAGCACCACCCCTTTTTTCAGCTTTACTAAGTTTACTTTAACCATGAACACCACAAAAGCATTTTGAACCAGAGGCTGTTGCAGAAGAAATGGTAGGTTAAGTCAATATTTGATTTTATTTTTTTTTTAAGTAGTAATTCAAAGTTCTACTTACATGGTTTTTTGTCAAAGCCAAGTACTGCAGGTTGGTCAGATAACCGATTTCTTCAGGGATGGAGGTTAGCTTATTGTAGCTAAGATCCAAATAATGTAATTTTTTACAAAGAAATAGCTGCAATGGAACATTTTTAATATTATTATAATTTAGATACAATTGTTCCAGGTTTGATAATGCACCAATCTGCACTGGGACGTATGAAATAATGTTGTGCCACAATTTTAAGCAAGAAAGGTTCTTAAGATGTTGAAAACTAATTATTTCTTCCACTGTTCTGAGATTATTTTCTTTCAAGTCGATTTCATGCAAATTGTTTAGGGTAAAAATGGAATGGGGAATGCGCTCTAAATCACAGCAGATTAATTCCAAGGTTCTCAGGTTTATCAGCTTCTTCAGGTTATTTAGCACTATGAGTTTATTTCCCTCATTGTTGATAGTTAAGTGTTGTAAAGAAGGCAGATCTGTAACCACTTGAGGTATACGGGAAAGGTTGTTTTTTAAGCAAATTGATCTCAGGTTTTTTAGCCCCTGAAAGCTTTCATTGTATATGGAGTTGTGATGATCTAGCATGAAATATCCTGTTAAGCACAATTCTTGTAGGTTTTTTAGATGAAAGACCCAAAACGGAATTCTTCCCATCTCGCTAGATTTCAGGCGCAATGTTTTCAGATTTTCTTCTAAAAAGCTGACTGCTGGATAATCCATCGTTAGTGACGAATGATAAACATTGAGTTCTTTGAGATTGACTAGCTGGGTCACAGCTGAAGGAAGTTTGGCTTCAGGAATAAGTTCCAGGCTCAGGACTTCTATTTCTGTCAGTTCAAAGATACTGTCTGGAAGACCACTTAACATGAAAAGGTGAAGTTCAATCTTGTCTTGGGAATTTCTTACTAGTTTATTTTTCAGTTTTTCCACTGACCATTCATTGTTAAGATTTATCTGTTTCAGTTTGTTTTCACTCAAATCAGACAGGAATATTGAGAATCGCTGGGAATAAAGAGGATCATACTGATCTGCCAAGTGGAGAATAAATGCAAAGTCGTTCTTTACATCAGGTATATCACTGTAATTACTTTTCTCTCTCAACTTCTCAAAAGAATATTGCTTAAGTGAACTTCTTAACATCCACCACAAACTGTAAGTACAAGTTAAGCCATAGAAGATCACTAAAACAACATAAAATGAAGCCAAAACTTTAAAAATTTCTGCTAGCGAATAAACACACTGGTACCTTTTGTAGCCTGTGAAGGCTTGAACATTAACTGCGCAATCGATTTCAAGTCTAATAAATGATAAATAGTAGGGGACATAAATTAATATTATTACAAATACAATGACTTTCACTATAATCTGTTTCATGTACACTGTATATATGACATCCTTCTCTTCCACGTGTACTCTGAATTTCTTCACTTTTTCAAATATAGCTTTAGCTTGTTCCCCTTCTTTTTTGTCAAGAACACTTGAATTTTCTCTTCCCGTTGTTTCCAAGCCAGGTTGCGAATATGGCAGGGACTGTCTGCTGGCCCCAATATCTACTGAACTCCCAGGTGATGGAATGGCTGCTTTTGATTTGGCTATTGGCAACTTCCTCACAGACTGCTCGGCAACTGTTTCTGAGAGGGCACGCGTTGTCCATGGAGAATCAAAACACTTCTGAAGAATGGCTACGAAGTGCTCAAGCCTGGAACTCGTACTAGGATAGTAAAGCCAGAAATTACTGCAAGCTGCAAAAATAAAGGTATGCAGAAGCACTAGGTATGGAAAAAATTTGGCAAACCAGTGAAGCTGTCTCTCATAACATACTGCATCGATATAGGAATACTGCTGCCGATGGAGATAATTCTGGATTTTAAGCGGGATGATTATCTGTGCTGTAGAGTTGGCCGACATGTTAAGGTTGGCTTTAACTAAATCCCAAGGCACGGCACAATGATTGTCAAATTCCAGCTTGCAAGGAAGACAACACAATACTCTGGTTTGAGTAATCTGGAGAGCCCCAGCGAGCACAGCAACTAGCAGCATTATCATGGTGAGGTAATACCAGAAGACATCCCACCATGGTTTTAGGATGTGGTACGATGACTGGGCATCTGCTAATAATTTGAGTTCTGTTAGCGTGATCATGACTTTCACCTGTGAGAGAACAGCAGCTGGTAGAGGGGAAAAAAAAAAAAAAAGAGAAAAAAGACATCCTTAGAGAATTGCTAAAAACAATTTATCTCATCATTAAACACTTGATGTTTACTACTGTTTTCACAGTTTTAAATGTGTAAGATTAGGCCTAGCATCCAGAGCATAGAAAAAGGATCCAAGAACTCCTGGCATCTAACCATAAGCATCATCTTATTTTAAGCGAAGTTACTTGGAACACAAAAATTTAAATGAAGAATGAACCTTCAGAGGTTCAGAGCATCAGAGATTAGGAGAAAGTATATTTTTACCAAACATTTGGGTACTGTTCAAGTAGAAGCAACAAGCAGGTAGAGGTTAAAGACGTGTGATACATTACTAGCAATTCTCCACCACTGTTCTAAAACTTACAAAGCAAACGGGATTTCTCGTTTAAGAATTCAAAAAAAATCAGAGTGATATACTAGTATGATGGGGTCCTGTAATTTAGGATTTTCTACTAGATTAAATAATTTTACTCAATTAAAGAATAAAGAATATACAAAAATTCTCAAAAGAGCAGTTTTGCATTACATATTCCTATACATAATTCCCCATCTTCTCCCATCAAGAGAAGTAGGCATACTGACAGAATGACAATGAAGCCAACACAATTTGCTATTGTCCAGTATTGTCATATATACAAAAATGGCACACTTAACCCCCAACAACTTAGGTTTGTTTCACACTTACTTTACTAATTAAAGAGAATAAAATTCACAGCACTGCTCAGTCAGGAGGTCTACACCTTTTAAAATTCCTTGGACATGCCATCTTTACATCTGTCTTCATTCTGGATGGAAAAAAACATTGAATATATTTTATTTTTAATAGCTTCATCCAAATAAAGAGCAAACATTTCAGCTTTCATTAGAACTGCTGCCTTATTGCAGACATCAGGATGCACTAATCTCTGCATTGCTACAGCTACATGAAATGCAGCAGAACATACTCAGACATGATCACGCAGAACGTGAAGTCAAAGTTTCAGGCAGTAGCAGCAACATAAAAAACAGGAAATTGCCTACACCTAGCCCCATTTCAGTAGGGATGCAAGTTGCTATTTTTTTTGCTAAAAAACTATGTAAAAATTAAATATGCAACACGCAAGACTTCAAGAAGTAGAATTCAGTCATAAATTTGATATGCCAAGGTTTAGCAGAAATGCAAGTTTCTCAAAAACAGAGGCCCATATTTTGCATCCTGAAAAAAAATAAAAATCAAACTATCCAGTGTCCACAGCAATAGCACAGCCATTACCAGCTTTGGACAAAACTTAATAATCAAGTTTGTTAAGCGGTACAGATATAAAGCAATGGGGATGTTCTGTATTTTTCTTATTCACTGAATCATTTAGGTTGGAAAAGACCTTTAAGATCAATGAGTCCAACCGTTAACCTAGAGCTGCCAAGTCCACCACTAAATCATGTCCCTCAGCACCACATCTACTCATCTTTTAAACACCTCCAGGGATGGTGACTCAACCACTTTCTTGGGCAGCCTGTCCCAATGCTTGACAACCCTTTAAGTAAGGAAATTTTTCCTCATACCCAATCTAAACCTCCCCCGGTGCAACTTGAGGCTGTTTCCTCATGTCCTGTTGCCTGTTACTTGGGAAAAGAGACTGACACCTGCCTCACTACACGCTCCTTTCAGGTAGTTGTAGAGAGCAATAAGGTCTCCCCTCAGCCTCCTTTTCTCCAGGCTGAAGACCTTCTCCAGGGTCTCCTTTTCCCCAGTTCCATCAGCTGCTCCTCTTTTTGTTTCTCCAGACCCCTCACCAGCTTCGTTGCCCTTCTCTGGACACACTCTAGCACCTCAAATGTCTTTTTCTGTAGTGAGGGGCCCAAAACTGGACACAGTATTCGAGGTGCAGTCTCACCAGTGCCAAGTACAGCAGGGCAATCACTTCCCTAGTCCTGCTGGCCACACTATTTCTGTCACAAGCCAGGATGTTACTGGTTTTTTTTGGCCATGCTGGCTCATATCCATAATATATTGGTCCTGGGCATTTTGATTCCAAGCAGAGCTGACAAGCTGTTATAAAAAGATAAACTAAGGCAGAACCTTATTCTTAGTCCAAATTCACATTTGAAGGGAGAAGAATGGCTGAAAATAAGTTAACCCTTCTTGCATTGGCAAGAGTACTTTTAATAGAATGTAGAAACTTACCAGACCCACTCAAGGGAAAGCAGCTGTAGAAGGACAGGATGGTTACAATACACTCCTGGAGAGAAAATAAATTGTCCATCAGATCACAAAATATTTGAACTCTAACAATTATTAGAACAACAACTCATTACTCCTTCCACAGCAGTGTTTTAAAGGTCCAGCGTTTAATGAGTGCAAAATGCCACTCCCATGAAATTATTTATTTCGTCACCACCCAAAAGTTGCTTTTCCTAAAGAAGAGATAAAGTAATGGCCCTTATTACTGTCCCCTTTCTAAGCACTGAAAGCCATTTAAGCTCAACGGTTTTTTGCATTTATGTAAAATTACTAGTCCTGCAGCTGAGATGCTCTAACCATAGCCAAGAAATAGCCAATTCTTCAATCACTCCAGCTCAACTTGCAAAAAGCACGTCTGTAAATACCTTCAAAATGAGTTCTTTTGCTGTAATTCTTTGAGGTTTGAATATAAATTTGTAGGTGTAAAAGCACAAAAAAGGTACTGAACCCATCCAAACTAAGGCTTTCATTCTGCAAAGAATACCTGAATCATGTCTCAACTGAAGCCAAAGATGCTTGATTTGAAAGTACACAGAAAAATCAAAAGTATTTCTTTCATTTCCAACCCAGACTTTAAACGAGACAATTCTTCTTACTTCAAGTTTGTTACAAAAATGAAAGACTTAAGACCCCTGTTAAAGTTGTAAAGAACACACTAAGAGATAAACACGTTGAATGATTCAATAAAGTAAGAGCAAAAGGTATAAATAATATATTTTTAACAAAGAAAAACATTTCAATAGCCAAAACAATCACTGAACTTGCTGAGAGTTTAAAATAGTGTGAAGAGTCTCATTAGCATGTGGATAGGAGCAATTTTTTTCCTGACAAACATCATCAGGGTCTTGGGAAGATACTAACATTTTAAGAAGATGTTTTATATAACTCAATGCTTATTAGAAAAAGCTGCAAGTAACACAATTTAATAATGCACGTATGTACCTCGCACTTTAAAGAACACCACTGTCCTGGTAACAGACTTATTTGGGGCAATTTGTAAGGCTCTTGTTGAATATAAGGGACAATTCAGAGTACGGTGACAGTTAACACTGATAAAGTATCCTCTCTAAGTTACTTAAAGACAGAAAATGGAACTTAAGCCAATTCTATTAAAAAATACTGGTACACTTGAGAATATTCATAACCCAATACACCTTCTTCAAGCAACACCGTAACGCTCAAACACACTTGAGAATATTCATAACCCAATACACCTTCTTCAAGCAACACCATAACACTCAAACATTATACAGATTGAGAATTTAAAGTGACGCTGACCCACGTAATCTTGTAAGGTCTGTTTCTATAAAATGCATTCTCACCTCCCTGCTTTGAACTGCAAAGTTGTTAGTCCCTACCACATATCTCAGAAAAACAGAAAAAAAAAAAAGGCTACATTCTTGCTGTGGTTTTAGAACTCCTTCAAGAAAAAAGCAAATGTCACAATATTAAGTATTTAAATACTTGACCCCTTGAACTCTGGTCTTGTTAATGACTACTTTGAGACCTTCCATGAAGCATCCATATTCATTACAATTCTATGTATATGAAGTAAAGCTTCCTATCAGAGAAGTACACAGTACATACAAGTGTAATATAAACACGTGAATTATTAATGATAATTTTGCCAGTTTTCTTTCAAATCCTACCTGTGTGCCAAGAGTGACTAATCAAATGGAATAATGCTGAACTGTAATAGGTTTGATAAATCTCATCTCCAGCAGCTTTCAACCCATATCAAAGCCATAAAAGCTTTTCAAAGTGGCCTAATTTAATTGGCAATCTTTCTTAGAAGATGAGACAGAATTTTAGCCCCAGGCTAAAGGATGACTTCAGGAGAGTTACCCCAGAGCAGTACTGGGATGCAGGCCAGAAAAATGAAGTAATAAAGATCACTAATACCTAGGGCAATTTTTAGTTACTTCAAGACTTATAAATCTGATCAATAAAAACACATCCAGAATATGAATAAAAGGCTATCATTTTGAAAAATATTATCTATAAGCATTAGACACCCCCCACCTCACCCTTCCTTGCTGCCAAAAGATTACTTAACATTGCATTAGTGTGTCATTTGGTCACTGGTTACAGAATTTTAGGCAGGTTTAGTTAGGAATGGCTCTGAAGCAAGGCAAATGCCTTCCTTCTCCTCCCCGAATGATGATGGGCTACAAAAAGCCAATACCTGACAGGAGGCTTTGTTTTATTTTTAAGGCCATGCTGACTTTGTTGATTGTTTAAGTATTCAACTGGTGTTTCTGACACTAAATTCATCAAAGTAGATTTATACAGCTAAAGCATACCTTGACATGTATTCCGGTGGCCCCTCTATTTTATCTTTTCCCCCTTCCCCTCAGAGAAACGCAGCCATCAAGTTTTCAGCCAGTCTCTTTAGGATTATGCTGTTACTCCAACAACATGATGTGCTTCTCAACTGAAATAATGAGATGTTGACACACTATGCAAAAGTGTCTGTTTTATCAGTTTTCTATAAGAAGTGATTCCAGAACTACAGTAGCAACTTAGCTTCTAACTAGCGTATCACTTTTTCTCTTTCACCCAAACCACATCTTTCCTGGCTAAAACATCTCCTTCTATTGGCATGCTACCATGTCCTTTTCCAAGCACTCCCTAAACAACAAAAAGCTGGGCAGGTCTGGTTTCATAAAGAACGACATTGGATACTGTCATACATGCTCTTAACAGATACATTCAGATGACTGCCTCTCCCTTTTTAAGCCTCCTCCTGACAAGTAATAAACTACTCAATTCAAGCACTACATTCGTCATATGGCCGATCTGTAGATGGACCACTTGCAGCAGATTCAGTTATAGGATCTTTTCAGTGGGGTTTGTATTTTTGGATCTGTGTTCCACTGAATGCAGAACAACATGCAAACAAGATTAGAGAAAGCTTCTTTCCAGTTCCTTCTGAAGAAGGTCAGAGGTGGTAATGAAACACGTATAAGTGATTATCCTTTTGTGTTTAAAATAAACCCAAAGACGTTCCCACACTCTACAATAACCAGCACGTTCCTCAAGCACAGGATGTACAAGACTACACTAACATCGTTTGAACGGTTGATATGGAAAACTTGAACAATCAAAGTCCTTCCAAACAAAGACTGTAATTACAACTTCAGACAATCTCAACCATCTGTGCCTGGATTAACTAGAGGCCTTGCCTTTCTTAAATGCTCCTGCTCTCAAGACAGTCCTGCTGAACATAAGATGTCGAACAGTATTAGCAGAGTCTCATGCTGTTTAAGAAGCAGCCCTTGCTCTCTGGAGAAGGCTGCTTACATAAAACTAGGTAGTCCAATAGTTCCTGGGGAAAAAAAATTGTAAATATGTTTTTAGTTCAAAATTTAGTAAGTTAGGCCACACTGGCATTTTTACTTTACATGGGTTACTCTTCTCTACTACTGCTTCAGAGATAATTGCACAGCACATAAGCTGAAAAAGCCTTGCAAAATCAAGCAACTACTACCCAGCTCTACTACTACCATGCCTTCAGCAAGCTGAGAAAGAGTACAACATAGCAAATATATTTTAAATAGTTTCCTCAGCTACCCAAAAGCTTGAACACTCATAGGTTGAACACGAAAGGCCTTAGAGTAAGTGAAAAAGAAACATCTTAAACGCAGCTTCACATAAACTCAGAATACCTGTCTTTATCCTATTACTTCCTTTTAAAGTATAAAAATACTTTATCTTGCAGTCTAATCTAAATGGAAAATAAACTTTACTCCAATCTGATTTGCTTTACAAGCACAGGACTTATTCTTCAAATCTGGCTGTGCAAAATTAGATACATTACATTATGCATTTCCAACCTATGCCTGCAGCACTCCAGAAAAGACCATTGTCTTCCTTGAGACATTTTGAATTAACTTCTCCTTAAATGCCATCAACATGCAAGTATTAAGTCTTTTCTCTATTCAAGAAGGCCAGTAAAGAATTATTCTTTGATAGAAAAATACGTCACTGGTCAAAGACTCACTAGGGAGATGGGTCATCTTCAGACATTCTGATTGCACAGTAGCTAGAATTACACACCTGTACACCACATGATAATGAAGTCACATCAGCAAGGTCTACCCAAGTGCATAAAGTTACCTGAGCCTAATTCGCACTAGTGGAAAAGAGAGGAAAACCAAGTCAACTATTTTGAAGGTTAAAGTTTGTAATGAAGTTGTATTACAAGACAAGTATTTAAGAGGTATGTTAAGTGTACTTTTTATTTCATACCAGTCTAGCCTGAAGAGCAATTTTAAATACAAATTCATATTCAGACATACATACTTTGACTGGTAAAAGCACTTTCCCCAGCCCTCTCCTCAAGCTCAGTACAAGGTGCTAAAGACTGTGTTCTAACTGAAACAGGTGGTCACAACCTATGCTCCTAGAAAGACCTGTACTAGCGAGACACTCAGTTTAAACTTAAGTTTAAGACCAAATAGACAGTAGATGAGACAAGTAGTTTATGCAAAAAAAAACCTGCTACGTAGCTACAAACTTAGGTTTCTGAACAAGCATGTTTCAAAGAGACAGGCAAGCAATCTAATGGTAAATAAACTGAAATAAAATGAAAAGTATACCAGCTTTGTTTTGCATGTAATTGCATTAACACGACTGAATCTCTCCGAAAGAAAGGTGTCTACATTCTGAGCAAATATCACTTCATTCATAATCATGGTGCTTTCTAAGATCTGTACCAAACCAAGCAGAATCCAGACTCTAAATCAAACCTGAACATTTCTAGTAAGCAATAGTTTGTACAGCCTTAGTGTCCCAGTGCTATTTTCAAACTCAGAGATGCATTTTTTAAGAAAATATAAGTTAAGGTTATATCAGGTGACAACAGAAGTATGACAGAGGAAGGACTTGAAGTACACAGAAAGCACTATAGTTCTATGTACTTCCTCTTTCCTTGTGGACACATGAAGATAAACTTACAGCCAAGCTGCAGTAGCTTTGCCAAACTGTGGATTTATATTCAGCTTGTGTTCTTATCCCTTTAATTCTTTTTAATATAAACATATTAATTTGAACTTAAGAGATGTATTAGCATCTAAAATGCCGATTACAATAA